TGCAGACTCCTCTGATGGAGCTCTGTCAGGTGCAGACTCCTCTGATGGAGCTCTGTCAGGTGTAGACTCCTCTGATGGAGCTCTGTCAGGTGCAGCTGGGCTGTGATGGAGACCTGTCAGGTGCAGACTCCTCTGATGGAGCTCTGTCAGGTGTAGACTCCTCTGATGGAGCTCTGTCAGGTGCAGACTCCTCTGATGGAGCAGGAGCCGGGAGGCTTGGAGGGTTTAATGTGGAGTTTAGAGATGAACCATCACGCGCTGAAATACGTTCTGGATAAAATACAGTGAGAAACGGGACCGGAGGACAGTTAGCGTTTATGTAAATTAGCTTAGCATCGTAGCACCAATGTTGTCCTATTATGGCGTCAGCCTCTTTTGTTAGTTAAAAATATGTTCAGAACTGAAGGGATGAGTAACTTAAAATATGTTTAAAGTTAGAAAACACTCACCATCTTCTATAAATGGTTCAAGTAGAGCAGTAGTCGTGTCCAAACCACCCTCCAATCCTCCATCTAGCTCGCTTTGACTTTTTTCGTCGGCCACCAAGCACAACAACACCTGCACTTCTGCATTTGACCACAGCTTTGATATTATTGTTGTTGTGTAGCTTCAAAATACTAAAAGATGCGCTCCTCCAGTTATCGCTAATGGCAAGCGTAGAGAAAAATGGTGGATCGGGTTGTTTGGAAAGACTCCACAGACTCCTCCCCCCGACCAATCAGTGACCGACAGTGTTTCTGACATCACGGCTCGGCTCGCTTGGACCCCTTGAGAAGCCGGGCCAGAATTCTGAGGGTGAGCAGGTACGAAGTACTAATGGAAAAGACCTCAAACACGGGCTGAGCCGGAAATATTCGACCGGCACTGTCCCAGTGGAAAAGGGGCTTTGGGACTCTCAGCTCTGTTGTTCAGTTGTTGACCCTGATTCACCATATTGACAAATCCTCCATTCACTCTTCCATCTTTAAGTGCTTTTTAAGACATCTGGACTTTATTAGTGGTATGACTAATCTAGGCGGAGCCCTTTCTCTTCATGCAAATAGGTCAACCAGTTGGGAGAACTGTCAGTGCATCCATTAATGCCTGCACAGAAATGGGGAGGGCAGTTATTATCCTCATCCGACTTCCTTTTATCGATTCTTTTCTCAGCTGCTTGGATCTGAGTAGCTTTCTAAATACTTCAGCTCAGCATTATGTCCAGCCAGAGGTTTTATTTTGGCTACTCTCAGTTCTGCTTAAGTAGAAATGCACATGACTGTCTACAACAAGGCGATTTATTAGTGTTTTGCGAGCACTACACAGCTGTCTTGACATTCCCTTCTCTCTCCAGCAGGTGTAATGAGAGCGCTGGTCATGGACAGATGATGGACGTGGAGACGTCGTACTCAGACTTCATCAACTGTGATCGCACAGGCCGCAGGAACGCAGTGCCTGACATCTCAGGGGAGGGGTCAGGCGCAGCCAGCACGAGTGAACTCACCAAAGACTTGGCAGAGATGGACCTGAAGGCTGCAGGTCAGTAGAGTCATAGCTCAGTACATCCGTCATTTTTCACAAAATGAATGGTTCAAGTGGACCACTGGATTGACTAAATGTATCAAAAACAGGGCAATAATTCTGCTTTTAAAATTTAGGCTAATTTATTAAACTAGACAGGTGTATTGGTACAACAAAGTCACATTTTGGTATATACTTTGATACAAGGGTTATTATTTTTGGCATGTTTGGTTCAACAGGAAAAAGAAACGAATGACAAATGTAAAGGTTTTTCTAAAAAAGTTCAATCTGGTCCTCTGGACATTCAAAAAAACAA